AAAAGAACGAGCTTAAATAAGTAGATCAGATCAACATCCAATAACAAAATAGAGGCATAAATCAAAACAATCACGGTGATAAACCAATCAGATCGTCAGATCAAAAACAGAACGCGTAATTTTTAATGCTAGAACATAAATCAAAACAATCACGGTGATAAACCAATCAGATCATCAGATTATAAATTTTTGAAAGCAGAACGCCAGGTTTTGTTGATCATTGTGGCGCAGATCCCTAAACTATGAATTAGATTTCATATCAAAACAAACGTTCGTTTTGTCAAAAATCGCTTATTTCTCAAAATCTACATAACAAACCATCTTTAATTCTCTAACAAAAACTATATTCTAAACGTTAACCCTAACATTAATGAGTTTTAAAATTTTGCCTGCGCCACAAACCTGGCACAGAATTTTTTCATGCAAACAGAACGCGTAATTTTTAATGCTAGGTTTGTTGTCAAGATTTGAACGAGCTAATAAATGAAATTATTTTATCGATATTTTTTAAAAAAGTTATTTATTAATTTTAAAATTAATTGCTTTCAAAATCCTAATTTAGCAAATTACTAGTAATTTTATAATAAAAAATACAGTCAAAAACATACATGTAGTATAGTAAAATTTAAATTTTTAAAAAAATTTTTTCTCAATAGTTTTATTATTAAAATTAAAAAAAAATTAAATAAATTTATACTATAGCAATTATCAAATTTTTGTATATAAAAAAATTAATTTTTAAATTTTTTAGAATTTTTAATAAACATACTACCAGTAATATACTGCAATATTAGACATCTAACACTAAATATATCAGTCACCCGATTTGTCACATTCAATTACTGAATTAGGGATTATATTAAAGTTGATATATATGAGGGAGTTTTAATATATGGAAATTTGTTCTATAGGTTAGGTTGATATTAATGAGAGGTGAATATTAACGGCGTTGATATTAATGAGGGACGACTGTATTCTAAAAAATTGATTAGAAATTGATCTAAATTATTTATCTGTTATCACGCATGGTCTATACGATACGTACATATTAGACTTTTAATTAATTTTATGCATCAACCTCTATCGAGATCACATCATTCATGCAACGCGATCACGTTACATGACCCGAACCCCAGCGCTACGAATTCCCGAAATACTATCGAACACAGTGTATTACATATTAACAGAGCAAAGAAAATAATAATAAAGGTTTATACGAGGGAAAATTTTCGCAACAAGGATTGAACATTTAAATAAATTAGTAAGGAAAAAAGGGTGTTTATTCACAATATAATAATGTGTTAAATTTGGTGTTTCTGTGTAATAATATCAGATTTTTAGAGGCTAAATATTCATCCGAGTTGTAAATTTTGACCGGTTGAACCGTTTTAACACGGGTGCCAGGTTTACTATAATCCGGTTCTAAACTCTATAGTAAACAAAAATTGTAAAGTTTTGTTTTAAGGGTTCCACAAAGATATAATTCCATCGTCAGCATATTATGCCAAAATGTTTGAAAATGGATGATGCGAAGTTCCAATAACTTCTGAATCAGATAACTATAATGGATAAGTAAAAGTAGGTGTAAAACTTATTGTGTTTCACTTTTTTCTTACTTGTAAAACATAAACTTACCTTTAAAGTTGTTGACTTTCCAGTTTGAACATTAAAACAATATAAATTTGAATCTTCTGCTGCACAATAAATGAAATCGCCCTGTACAACTCACGAAATCACCACCTGTTTTCTTGTCTGATGTAAATGTTTTAATAATCTAGTGTGCATGCAATATTTCTGTATTTGTGATTAATCCTACAATTACAAATATTTAAATAAAAAAATCTGTTGTTTATCATATGAAAATCGTACCTGTCCTCTCATGGTTACTAAGTAAATTATTACAAATAATTTTATTTGATCCATATTCTTTGGCACTTGAACAACACAATTAACCGTTATTCCACCTGAAATAGTTGCGGTGGCTCCCTGTCCGCCATGTGGCGTTATTGTGTGGAGGCAGCTAGTTGATTTACTGCCCAAAATCTATCATTGTTTTACGTAGCTGTATAATTATGTATTGAATCTCAAATATCTATGAAATAGGTTGTTAAATTCTGACCTTTACAGTATCATCGCTACTTGCGCTGATCACCCTTGACATGTCATATGAAAATATTGCATCGTTAACAAAAAATGAATGACCGCGAAACTCTTTCAACGTCTTTCCAGATTTCAAACCATGAAGTCTAGCCAAGATTAAATATACATTAATAAGATTTTAATATTATGTAATAATGCAATTAAAATTTAATATTAATTAAGCATTTTAAAAATTTTAAGTACTTTAATAATATCAAATATAAGCATTATTTTTAATATTAAATTATTAATCAATTGATTTATATGTGGGTCACCTATATTGTAAAAGAATTGCATTACTTCAATTTTTTTTACATATTCATAACAAAGTTACGTTAATATAGGATTAATTTTTTCCGGAGGAACTTAAGGCCAGACAATAGGAGAGAAAAAAATTCCGGGTGGGTTCCAGGTGTAGGATAAGAGCATAAGCAAAAAAAATCCCAATATTCAATTGATCAGTATTGAAATTGTCAATTATATAGTAGTATCGCACTTTAAATTTCACTTTATTTACCGTTACTTAGAAGTATATACATATCGCACTTTAAATTTAAGTTTTATATATGATGCAGCATAAATTCTAATCGCTCATAATAAAATAAATTCGCGATAGTGGTTTAATTATAGAAATAAATGCCATATATGAGTTT